AAGATAGTGGCACCAGATGTGGAGTAAATGAGACCATATGCCCTTCCTGGTCACTGTTGCATATTGCATTATACTGGAGAAATGTATTCCTTTTTAAACAAAAACAACGCAGCTACTACCACCATCAACTCTAAACGTGTGATACATTGGTACATTTTGCAGCAGAAACATCCGTTGAGATGTCCCATTGAGATTGAGTTCCCTATAACTTTTTTCCCCCTGTGTGCGCCTCAGTGCAGGCTAAGGCATGCAGAGGCCGCAGTGCACGGTTTGTGTCCATCTACTACTTTTTTTTTACTTGATACAGCTGTCGGGCTGTGACGGTTCCACCTGAAGACGGAAGCTTGTGTTGCCTCCGAAACGTCGTGATTTTTTATTTTACTTTTATTAATTTTAAGTTTAATTTTTTACCTACGTGACTTTACCGAAAAAGAACCTAAGAATATGAATCCTTGCTGTCACGAAAGCTTCAAATCTAGAATCCATCTACTGCGTAAGTTGTGACGGCTGCGCTGCAGAAGCTCCGACGCGCGATCGTGTTGTACCGCTCGTTGTTCAGCACGACGTCTGACGTTTGGCTCCCACGCACATGGTTCCACGCAGCGTATTTCTTGACCTGTAAGCGTCTTGACCAGTGAGCATAGAGGGAGGAATGACTTTTGGTGTTAGTTTTGGGAGCCAAATAGAAAAGTCAAGAGTCAGAGTTTTGTTTAGCAGGTAAAAACTTGAGCCTGCATGGGCTCTCTTCAAAGGTCGACATGGTTAAGAGAAATGGGGGCCTGAAACGTAATTCTCTAAGCCCTCCCAATCAACACCTGTGAGGCCTCCCAATCAATTTCAATCGAAATTTTTTATTTAATTTTTTATGTTATCTTTTCGCTCAATGGTATCCTGATTGTGCTATTGATGTTATCATGTCAGGAGATGCAGTATCGATTCGGATATCCCGTAGAAGACTACGACCCTTCACGTTCAAGAGTGGCCCTCAGACGTTGCTATCACAGAGCCACCCCTGAGATCCTTTCAAGTGACCTCTGATTATACAGTAGGGGGAAGCGCTTTCCCATCCGCCCTGCCAACGATATCAATGTCCGTCGCATGACTGTCAACCTGACGTTAAATTCTCGAAGCCGGAATTTATCCGAATTAAGTGCAGAACCAAATATAATGCAAAATGATTTTTTTTGTGTGTGTGAGCATTAATTGGTGACCAGGCTGAGACCCCCAACTCCCTAAACCTAAGAACTCTTCTTTTATCGAATCAATATCGGTCCACCACATGAGGGCTGCTGCTTGGTGGCTCCAATTCCGAACAGAACAGCCCATCCAATTACGGGGGTCATTGTAAACTTATCTATTACTCTGTGACCATGGCAATGTACTCCTTTATCACATTTCATGTCATCTTTGCATTTCAGCTGCTGTTATCACACCTCTGGGTACTGGACGGCGCATGCCTCATATGTTCTCGGTCACAACGCGGGACACACAGATAGCGTGCTAAAACGCCACGCAAACATTGTTGCTTCATAAAAAATATTTTAAAAAATCCCTTTCAAAGTTTGATACGTTTATTGGGTAAGTTGATGGAACATGTTTTGTTAACAATTATTTTTTTTATGGCTTGTAAAAATTTCGAAGAGTGTTTGGATTGTAGAACACATATTTAGGAATTATTAGGCTATTTTATTGAAGCGTGTAATATTTTCTCTGGATTCCCATGAAGTATTTTCATCTTAAACATTGCATCTTAAAATACTACTTGAATTATAAACTACTGCATAAGTATGCCACTGCACGAAACAAACTATTTGCCGTTTTATTACAAAAAAATATTAACGGTCAATTTTAAACAAGTGTTTTTTCTTTAAGAAAATATAAACAGCAAAAAAACATAAATATGGTGTTTTATATTTGAAAGAGTGGGAAAGTGTATGAAATATTCTCCTGCATCAAACATGATCTTTCCACTGCTGGTGTGAATATCCCCAACCTGTCACAATGTCCTGGTGGTCAAACAATCTCACGATCCGTCGAGCTGCTACGCTTGAGACGATCTCATTGCTCCATATCCATGGTCGACGTTGCCTTCGGATGTGTAAGTCCTGATCATTGGCTGTCATCTCTTTAACCGAAATTTATCTTGTTAAATTACATTGTTCTTTTTACGACAGTTGATTAATACATGTTTTAAAGTAATATTAAAATATACAAAAAATACTGAAAAGAGTAATTCCAAAGTCAAACTCCGGACCAGTACTGCATTAGCCTGCTATAATTAGAACTTGACCTCCATAAGAAACAATTACAAATCTGATAATTGTTTTTTTACCCTTCTATCTGGCAACAAAACTGACACCTTTTTACAAGGAGTCATGTTTGCATATACCGCAATACCTGCAGTCATAATACAAACAAAAGAACATAACTCTGATAATGTGCACTGTCCTTGAAGTTGATTGGTCCACACCCGAGACAGCTTTCCTTAGAGCCTAGTCTCACATGGGTTGGACCAGATGATGCCAAAAGGCGCACAACTCAAAGACAATGCACCATCAGAGTATGAGAGCTCGGGGCAAGCATCCACACTATGGGAACCTCATTTGCCAGTAAAAATATAATTGGTTTTTTACCCTTCAATCTGGCAAAAAAAGAAACCAATTATCATATTTTTACTGGCAAATGAGGTTCCCATAGTGTAATTACAAATCTATATGACTAGACATAATCGTTATTTATTTAAGACAAATTGCGGTAAAATATCCTCTTTTTTTTAAACACCTTCAAATATTCTTGCAGATTGAACAACTGAATGTAATGTTATAACGATTTCATTAGGGGCAGTGGCTTGATTCCTGCAGTTAATGAATCGTCCTTGCATGCATGTGTGAGACTTGGTGAGGGCTGTGTGCAAGGCTAATTCAATTACTGCACAATTATGACTGGAGTTGATTGTTCAACTTGAGAAGCGATATATTGTGAAATTTTAAAGATTGACGTCACAAATTAGGAATGATTCTTTGGTTTTTTCGGTAAAGTCACGTATAAAGATAAAATAATAAATTAAATTAAATAATAGCATACGACGTTTCGATTGCAACACAAGCAATCATCATCAGGTATAATGAAATAGCGACATAGAATCTAACCAGAAAACTATAGACAGACATATAAGCAGACAGATATCACCAAGATACATAGAGAGAGCAACCCAGGTACAGAGAGGGGTGATCGTCTCTGTGGGGTGGCCTTAAATAGACAGAAGGGAGCGGAGGCAGAGAGAGGGAGGGGGTAGGGAAAAAATGTACATGTCAATGAGTACGAAGGGAGGGGAGTAAGGTAAGCAGGCTTAGAGGGAGACAGAACACACTAAATTAAATAACCTAGCAAAGTATCGAAATGTTATGTAAAACGACACAGAGAGTCGGTCAACACACAATTAACGCATAGCCTGGTCGATTACGTATTTCAAAGATTGCTAAGTTAGAAATTTAAGTGTGAAAATTCCAAAGAAAGACAAAACATAAAAACAAGAGGAATGGAGACACACAGACAGAGCAGAACCTAATAACGATAAAAAACGAGTGTAGACAGAGAAAATTACACTAAATATACAGGCAGAGAGAGAGAACAAGTTTACCTTTTTTCTCTCTCTCTGGATTTTTTGTTCTCTCTCTCTGCCTGTATATTTTGTGTATTTTTTTCTGTCTACACTCGTTTTTTATCGTTCTTAGGTTCTGCTCTGTCTGTGTGTCTCCATTCCTCTTGTTTTTATGTTTTGTCTTTCTTTGGAATTTTCACACTTAAATTTCTAACTTAGCAATCTTTGAAATACGTAATCGACCAGGCTATGCGTTAATTGTGTGTTGACCGACTCTCTGTGTCGTTTTACATAACATTTCGATACTTTGCTAGGTTATTTAATTTAGTGTGTTCTGTCTCCCTCTAAGCCTGCTTACCTTACTCCCCTCCCTTCGTACTCATTGACATGTACATTTTTTCCCTACCCCCTCCCTCTCTCTGCCTCCGCTCCCTTCTGTCTATTTAAGGCCACCCCACAGAGACGATCACCCCTCTCTGTACCTGGGTTTCTCTCTCTATGTATCTTGGTGATATCTGTCTGCTTATATGTCTGTCTATAGTTTTCTGGTTAGATTCTATGTCGCTATTTCATTATACCTGATGATGATTGCTTGTGTTGCAATCGAAACGTCGTATGCTATTATTTAATTTAATTTATTATTTTATCTTTATACGTGACTTTACCGAAAAAAACCAAAGAATCATTCCTGCAGTCACGAAAGCTCCAAAATTAAAATTAGGAATGATTTGTTAATTGAAAATCCTATGTTGGTCTCTCCTGTTCAACAAACATGGCATGCACTTCACGCAACGGTTACATATGTAGTGGGTTCAATTTAGGCGCACACTTCTTGGGAGGCAACACTCATTTATTAGAACAGTATTATAACACTGTACATTACACATAGGGCGGTGACCACCGACCTACTCTAGCTAACACACACTTCTCTAACTCTCAGCTACTCTCGCGTGACCCAGCCAGGTGGGCTACTGGCAGGTCCGCTGACTGGAGGCCTTGACTCTTCTTGGCGCTTTCACGATGCATCTTCACTCTTGGCACGGGCAGCCTCGAACCTCGTGAGAAGGCTGCTTATATGGGCCTCGGCGTGCCCAGGCCCCACCCCGGCCACGAGAACCCTCTCGAAGCCCCCCCCCCCCCTGCTGTCCACGTGCCCCCCGAGGTGCCCCCCACTGGGATCTGGTCACGTGTCCAGCCGGAATCACAGAGAGTGCCACGACCTCGCACCACCCTCGTGGCCTCCCGAGTCCAGAACCGGCCCTGACGTCATTCCCGCCTCCAGTTGGGATGATGTCATGTGTATGTAGACCCACGGGTAGTGACGCTCCCCCGCATAGTGACGTCACACGTGTGCGTGTGTACACAGTAGTGATGCAACAATCAATACACATACAGAATATACTAGTAGTACATTTTATATAATTCTGTAAAACGTTGTCGCGGCCTTGACATTCAAAATAACATTCAGTGTCAATAATTGTGGACACTTATGCCATGAATATTGTATTCATGTGTTGTCAATAAAGCAACATGTAATCCGTCACACAATATCTGTTTGTAAGGACAATTGGAAACTGCATTTTTACTCATAAGCCATCCGAGCATCTTTGCTTTGCCCCCATTCAATGGTCTTAATGAGCATGAATTGACCACGTGCCCCATCACTCCGTCGGCTCCACAGCTTTAGAGGCTGCCTATCAAGAACCATTGCACAGTGGCACCAAAGTAATTTCAACAGCTTAAACCCAATGCCTAAATAACCATCGAATGCCTTAACAACCTTCAACATTCATATAGAACGTTTGTTGCTATTCATCACCCTCTTGGACTAACGGGGTCAAGAAGCCTTAGTTTAAGCAAGATATGTTTTATTGATTTATATGTGGTGACACAGAATCGAGTTCGGCTAATACATATGCTTTCATTCATGGCACTCCATGGTAATGCATATTGCGTTTGTATATAGAATTAGACGATTGCTCAGCAGTACGTATTGCCTTATTCCTCCGTTGGGTGGATTTGGTTCTCGCTACAAATCGAATTTTTACAAATGACTGTGTGTGCGTCGCAGCAGATGTCGCTGCTCTCACACCGCGATTCCACAGATGAGCTTCAGCTGAATTGCGGGGAAAGTTACCTTCCCATTTATGGTTATGAGTAAACCCGGGGCCTCTCATTTCAACAATTTGGTGATTCTGCATTGGCAGTGGTGCAAAAGCACAAGTAAGAAAAAGCTCAAAACATCTGTCAATAACACTACCTTGAAAGGAAAAAATATAGTGTTTACTAATGAATGTGTTATTCGTTTGTTATCTGACCCTCTCAATGTTTGCTTTAGACTTTGTGTTCTTCGTATTTATTGATTTGATGTGGCTTATGGCAGTCACATTTTCACCTTTTCTCGTGTGTAGATGCATTTAATGACTTTTAGGTCAAAGTTATGCATATGATGAACATGTACAAAAAGTTCAACACGTAGCTTTCGCGACCAATATCAAAGAGTGTGCAACGTATGACTGTTAAATATTGATAATACCATATAATCACTCTATACACAATACCTCGGACATGCATATGCTAGGCGTATGATTTACAATCACGGAGAAATCGATGGAGCTTCTCCATAAACAATAATAAGTGTCGTGTATGTCTGTTAAAAAAACACACGGCTAGGTTGTTCAGATTGCAGTTAGCACTGTATGTCAAGCAAAGGTCAACACTATTCTGTTGACAAAGTACAAGTCCACAAGTTGTCTCTACAAGTATCTGCCTTCATCGATGACCCCAACTATTCATATATTCCTTCAATCTGCAGGCGCCTTAGTCCAATGGCTCTCTTGAGCTCATCCATTCCTGTAGACACACAATAAATCATGACAGATATTGAAGTGTCACTCCTGTGTTCGTGTTTGTGCTTTCAGGTTGTACCTCATGTGGTTACAAAACCATGTTCGACGTTTCGTTCCACGTGCTAATTCAGTTCCCAAAGAAGCTCCCCAAGCACGTGAACAAAAAATAAATAATTTGATTGACCAGGTAAGGCCCACTGAGCTATATATTTATTTTTCCGAAGTGACACAGCCACAAATGAAAGTGGCTAATCACGTGGAAATGCATAGCAGCCAAATACTATAAACGCATGTTTCTAAATGTGGAAGGAAAAAGACGGAGGACCCGGAGAAAACCTACGCGACCACGGGGAGTGCGACACCGCAATCTCCAAATATACAGGCATCAGTGTTGGGACCGAACCCACGACCTCCTGCAAACCAGGCGAGGGAGATAACACCCGGAAAAAACCTAAGAATATGAATAAGATAACACCTCGCCACCATGACGACAACCATCAGGTGGCACACCTCGAAAACACATCGAAGAGCTAGACCTTGATGTACAGTGAGGGGGAGGTCCAAATTGTTGGAAAGTAAAGTGTAGAACACTGCACGGTAATTGCCCCAGACCCATTCTCCTCCACTGAAGAGGCATATTTGTTGTGTCTCAGATAAGCCATTCCCTATTGGTGGAATACGCTTTCTACGAGTGGTTTAGCTGTAAGATGTGTCCTGCAATACAGTCAAGCGAACACACGTTTCCTGTTGGAAGTGCATTCTAGGTACGAACTGTATTCAACTTTAGTTCTCCGTTGTGTGTCTGGGTTGTGTTTTACCTGTTTTATTGCCAGAAACGGTAAAAACCTCATTATTTTTTCATCCTTTTGCTGCTGGCAAAGAAGGTCCCGTAGATATAACTGCTCAACCCGAGTTATAAATCCTCTTGATACTTGCATTGTCTTTGTACTGGTCATCTTGTGGCATTCTCTGGTCTCACACTGGCGAGACGAGGCCATAAAAAGGCTGCCTCTGGTATAAGCCAATCAATTTTAAAGTAAAAGCATTTATTACCATGATCATTTTTGTTTGCATGTTTTTCCACAAGTACGTGTGGTTAATGCGGTCTTTATGCCTCACAAAAGGTACCTATTTGGTGTTTGATCATCTTAAAACCTGTTTTATTGCCAGAAATGGTAAAACCTATACTTATTTTTTCATAATTTTTCATAATTTTGATACTGGCAAAAAGTCCCATAGATAGGAATATCGAAATAGATAGAAAAAACATGACAAGGTGAGAAATGTAGATGAATGGAAATATGCAGTACAGAGAAGGGAAGAGAAAGGTGGAGAGAGACCGGACTCTATATATGATTAAACGTTTTCCTGGCTTGCTGGCATACACGGACGTACAGTCGTGTCCAAATGACATGCGAGTTGCTGTTTCAGATATTTAAAAAATACGTTCCTGTTTGTGAGAAAAAACAATCACATCAGAGCAGTGCCGGATTATCCTCGTAGCAAAAGTAGCAAATGCTACGGGCCGCGCACTTTCAAGGAACCCCGCGCTAAATGCTTTTAAGCTATCAATTCCAGTTCAGTGATTCTGCACTTGCTCTATTACTATAGTACTATACTTCCTTCAACTTTTATGAACGTCTGGGTGTTTAAGGTTAGCGATTTGTCGTATTATCTGGCTGTATGGAAAGTGTAAAAATACAATTACTCTACTATGCAAGTTAAACATTTATGTGTTAATTTTATTTTTTATGTAGGGCCCCTTTATAACATATGCTACAGGCCCTGCACTAGCTTAAGCCGGCGCTGCATCAGAGTATAGTACCTATATTTTAGAACAAACACACACCACTACAGTAAGACGTTAAGTGCCAACCATAAGCAGCTTTGAGGTCAATTCCATGAGCATCATTTACCTCAACTTTTCAAAAAATATTCTGCAGTAACACGCATGCTAAGAGGATTACACCAGAGTTGTCATCACATTTGAGTACTTTTACCAAGTCGGATTTGCAATGCTCAATTGTAATGTTTTAGGGTCAGTGGAAATGCAATCATAGGCAGTTGATCAGTACCATTTTCTGGGGATGGTGATACTTCTTTAAATGTGATTACACCTTTTGGCGGCAACACTGGAATCCAGTTATCATCTGTAAAATAAAAAAAACACACACAACACTATGCTAATGCTCTGAGTATATTTCCATCACTCCAGAAAATATTCACCGAGTTCCAAGACGCTTTCAGGAGTGTCTTGTTCACAGATGTTTAGCCACTTATGTGTCGTGCTGCACACTCTACCAGGTTCCAGTAGAATTCAATTTGCTCATTACGCTATGAGAGTTGTCCTCGTTACTTGGAGAAAGCTACAAATGTCTTGCTAGCAATGCATTATAGGTACAAATGGTATCTGCATTTAGCTCTCCAATGTGCGTAAGGGTCATACCGCGTGTTGTTTGGCACGATGGCCGCTATTTCGCTGCACATGCTGGAAGATTATTGAGGAACGTTGGACATCACGTCCAACATTAACGACCCTTAAACACATCAGAGAGTTATAGAGCACAATCACGAAAGCCGACACAACTGTATATGTCTTTGCGTAACTCTCCCAGGTATACTTGTATGACTGGCACTCGTGTCAAAATGAAACAAATACACTCATGCTTATGGAAAACATAATCAAATTGGAGTAGAGTACAATATTTTATTTTTTTAAATGCATAAGACTAAAGCAAGACGTAACGTTCCCACAACCAGTAGCTTCAAGGTCAAATTCAATGATTAAGTTTTAATTCAACTTTTCAAAAACATTCTGCAGTAACACCCATGCTAAGAGGATTACACCACAGTTATAATCGCATTTGAGTACTTTTACCAAGTCGTTTTTGCAATGCTCAATTATCATTTTGGGGGGGGGTGAGTGGAAATGCAATCATCGGCATCTGATCAGTACCATTTTCTGGGGTTGGTGATGGTGATAATGCTGTCATTGTGGGTACATCTTGTGGTGGCAACCCAGGTGCCCATTGATCAGCTGTAAAATAAAAACACACACACAACACTCTGTTACGTTAATGCTGTAGATATACGGACATTATGCCCAACATTAAGAGGTACACTCAGAATACACATTGGAGAACTATGCAGCTTAATCACGAAAGCCAAGGCAGTTGTATATACAGATTTGCAGAACTCTCCCAGGGAGACCTGAATGACTGGCATTGGTGTTCACTAAAATAAAATACACTCGCGCTTATGGTAAGCATAACCCAATTAGACTCGAGAATAATATTTAATGACAAATATACACGACACTTCAGCGAGACGTGAAGGGCTAACGATAAGTAGCGTCGAGGTCATTTACATGAGCATGATTTGCGTCGACTTTTTGTGAGAAAATAATCAGTAACACTCATGCTAAAAGGATTGGACCAGAGTCGTTCTGACACTTGAGTATTTTTACTAGGTTTATTGTGAGTGGAAATTCAATCATAGGCAGCTAATGAGTACCATTTTCTGAGGACGGTGATGGTGTTGGTGCTGTCTTTGTGGAGAATCTTTTTGAAGGCATAAGTGCTTTCCTGTGATTAACTGTAAGATAATAAGACACTTTAACACGTAGGCTTTCGCGACCAATATCATCCGCAATAGATGCTTTTTTTTGTTTAGATCGCGTAAATTATAAATGTGTCGTCAAACCCACCACCACTCGACACAGCCAATTAGTAAGGTTTGTCACGAAAACAGAACGTGGCCAATTCGTCACTAGTGCAGCACACCGGTGTGTTGGAGAGCAAAGCCACAACATTTACAATCTGAGTACGACGTTTCGCCAATAATTACAACCAGCTTCATCAGGCGACAGCCAGATTTGTGGAGAAATTCTCATGTTTCCTTCCTTAAATAGAGGGGTAGATGTGATGACATCATTTGTGTGCTCTTCTTGCAAGAAGTATGGATATCCATTGTCGTTTGGGTTAGTTAGACACGTAACACTGTGTTATGTAAATGCTGTTGATCCTGCATAATGCATGGGCATAATATGACTTTGAAAACCCCCCCGCCCACCTCCTACGCATTTTCCATGTATATGCTAAATTCCTCTTCATATGCACATTCTTTTGTTAAGGCGCTCTTTCTTCCACCTCCAACGCAGCTTATATAGACAATGCCAAGCTAGGAGCTTATATATAAGCTCCTAGCTTGGCATTGTCTCATTCTTCACCTGAGGACGGCTGCTTGCGTTGTGGCCGAAACGTCGTGAGAATTGTTTTATTATGTTTTATTTTTATTATTTTATTACTTCCCTTCTACGTGACTTTACCGAAAGAACCAAGAAGAAAAATATGTAAATGCTGTTACAATACGTCCATTACCCAGGAACAGATGCATCGAGTGCCAAGACACTTTCATGAGTTGTGCCTTTACTCACACATGTTTAGCCACTTGTGCGTCGCGCTGCACGCTGTAATACGTTTCAGTAGAATTTAATTTGATCATTGCGCTGTAAGCGTTGTCCTGCCACTCGGAGAAGCCTACAAACTTCTTGCTAGCGATGCGTATTAGGTACAAACTGTATCCGTATTTAGATCTCCGATGTGTGTACGGGTCGTTGTTCGGCAAAACGTGCGACATTTCGCTCCACGTGCTGGGAGATTATTGAGGAACGTCGGACATTGTGTCCCACAATAAGCGGTAACAATCCGAAAACACATCAGAGAGCCGTACAGCGCAATAATGAAAGCCGACGTAGTTGTATTCATCTTTACGTAACTCTCACAGGTATCCGTGTATGACTGGCGCTGGTGACATATTAAAATATATTTAAGATGCTTGCGCTTTTGGAAAACATAACCAAATTCGAGTACAGTCCAATATTTCAGAACGAATACAGAATACTACAGCAAAACGTATAAAAGTGCCAATAAATCAGAACATTCGAGATTATTTCGATGGGCATCATTTATCTCGACTTTTGAAGAAGAATAAGAAGAAAAAAACACTGTAGTAACACCCATACTAAAATATGTTATTACACCAGAGTTGTTATCACATTTGAGTTCTTTTACAAGGTCCGTTGTGCAATACTCAATTATTATTTTGGGGTCAGTGGAAATGCAATCATAGATTGCTAATCAGTACCATTTTCTGAGGATGGTGATGGTGGTGCGATAATTGTGGATACTCTTTGTGGTGGCAAAGCTGGTTTCAGCTTATTAGCTGCAAAGTACAAACACACACAACACTCTATTATGTGAATGCTGTAAGTATACTTTCATTACTCAGGAAAAGATTCACAAAGTGCCAAGACGCTTTCAGGAATGTGTCTTGCTCACAGATGTTTGCCACTTGTGTGCCGTGCTGCAAGCTGTACTAAGCGTTGTCCCGCCACTCTGAGAAACCTACAGACGTCTTGCTAACAATGCCCTCATGGTACAAAATGTGTCCATATTTACCTCTCCGATGTGACGGGTCTTACCGCCTGTTGTTATGGGGAGTAGTAGTATAGCGGTTAGCGCGCTGCGCTACGAACCCAGTAGCCTGAATTCAATTCCCATTCACGGCCAATACCAGTGATGATTATCTGAATCGGTCCTGGGTATCCCCTAGGTCCACTCAGCCTCAAATGAGTACCTGGTGCGGTATGTAAAAACATCACCACTGGGGAGACAAAGGCGGTCGGGCGTGGTGTTGGCCACCCACACCCTCGTGTACAATGCCAGCCTTCATAGGTGCTCGCTAACAGCACTTGCCCCAACAGTCTGTTAAGGCTATACGGGGGGATCTTTGTCTTTGATCGACATAACATCCGACGTTTCAATGCACGTGCTTGGAGATTATTGAGGAACGTCGGACATTATGTCCCACAATAAGTGGTACAATCGAAAACACATCAGAGAGCCGTACAGCGCAATAGCGAAAGCCGAAGCAGTTGTATTAATCTTCATGTAACTCTCACAGGTATTCGTGTATGACTGGCGTTGGTGACACATTAAAATATATTTAAGATGCTTGCGCTTTTGGAAAACATAATCAAATTCGAGTACAGTCCAATATTTCAGAACGAATATAGAATACTACAGCAAGACGTATAAAAGTGCCAATAAATCAGAACATTCGAGATTATTTCGATGGGCATCATTTATCTCGACTTTTGAAGAAGAAAAAGAATAAGAAAAAAACACTGTAGTAACACCCATACTAAAATATGTTATTACACCAGAGTTGTTATCACATTTGAATACTTTTACATGGCCCGTTGTGAAATTATTTTTGGGGTCAGTGGAAATGCAATCATAGATTGCTAATCAGTACCATTTTCTGAGGATGGTGATGGTGGTGCGATAATTGTGGATACTCTTTGTGGTGGCAAAGCTGGTTTCAGCTTATTAGCTGCAAAGTACAAACACACACAACACTCTATTATGTGAATGCTGTAAGTATACTTTCATTACTCAGGAAAAGATTCACAAAGTGCCAAGACGCTTTCAGGAATGTGTCTTGCTCACAGATGTTTGCCACTTGTGTGCCGTGCTGCAAGCTGTACTAAGCGTTGTCCCGCCACTCTGAGAAACCTACAGACGTCTTGCTAACAATGCCCTCATGGTACAAAATGTGTCCATATTTACCTCTCCGATGTGACGGGTCTTACCGCCTGTTGTTATGGGGAGTAGTAGTATAGCGGTTAGCGCGCTGCGCTACGAACCCACTAGCCTGAATTCAATTCCCATTCACGGCCAATACCAGTGATGATTATCTGAATCGGTCCTGGGTATCCCCTAGGTCCACTCAGCCTCAAATGAGTACCTGGTGCGGTGTGTAAAAACATCACCACTGGGGAGACAAAGGCGGTCGGGCGTGGTGTTGGCCACCCACACCCTCGTGTACAATGCCAGCCTTCATAGGTGCTCGCTAACAGCACTTGCCCCAACAGTCTGTTAAGGCTATACGGGGGGATCTTTGTCTTTGTTCGACATAACATCCGACGTTTCAATGCACGTGCTTGGAGATTATTGAGGAACGTCGGACATTATGTCCCACAATAAGCGGTACAATCCGAAAACACATCAGAGAGCCGTACAGCGCAATAGCGAAAGCCGAAGCAGTTGTATTCATCTTTATGTAACTCTCACAGGTATCCGTGAATGACTGGCGTTGGTGACACATTAAAATATATTTAAGATGCTTGCGCTTTTGGAAAACATAACCAAATTCGAGTACAGTCCAATATTTCAGAACGAATACAGAATATTACAGCAAGACGTATAAAAGTGCCAATAAATCAGAACATTCGAGATTATTTCGATGGGCATCATTTACCTCGACTTTTGAAGAAGAATAAGAAGAAAAAAACACTGTAGTAACACCCATACTAAAATATGTTATTACACCAGAGTTGTTATCACATTTGAATACTTTTACATGGCCCGTTGTGAAATTATTTTTTGGGGTCAGTGGAAATGCAATCATAGATTGCTAATCAGTACCATTTTCTGAGGATGGTGATGGTGGTGCGATAATTGTGGATACTCTTTGTGGTGGCAAAGCTGGTTTCGGCTTATTAGCTGCAAAGTACAAACACACACAACACTCTATTATGTGAATGCTGTAAAGTATACTTTCATTACTCAGGAAAAGATTCACAAAGTGCCAAGACGCTTTCAGGAATGTGTCTTGCTCACAGATGTTTGCCACTTGTGTGCCGTGCTGCAAGCTGTACTAAGCGTTGTCCCGCCACTCTGAGAAACCTACAGACGTCTTGCTAACAATGCCCTCATGGTACAAAATGTGTCCATATTTACCTCTCTGATGTGACGGGTCTTACCGCCTGTTGTTATGGGGAGTAGTAGTGTAGCGGTTAGCGCGCTGCGCTACGAACCCGGTAGCCCGAATTCAATTCCCGTTCACGGCCAATACCAGTGATGATTATCTGAATCGGTCCTGGGTATCCCCTAGGTCCACTCAGCCTCAAATGAGTGCCTGGTGCGGTGTGTAAAAACATCACCACTGGGGAGACAAAGGCGGTCGGGCGTGGTGTTGGCCACCCACACCCTCGTGTACAATGCCGGCCTTCATAGGTGCTCGCTAACAGCACTTGCCCCAACAGTCTGTTAAGGCTATACGGGGGGATCTTTGTCTTTGTTCGACATAATATCCGACGTTTTACTGCACGTGCTTGGAGATTATTGAGGAACGTCGGACATCATGCTCAACATTAAGCGGTACACCCAGAAAACACATCAGAGAGCCGTGTAGCGCAATAGCGATAGCCAACGCGGTTGTATTCATCTTTGTGTAACTCTCACAGGTATCCGTGTATGACTGGCGTTGGTGACACATTCAAAATATATATGTGCTTGCGCTTATGGAAAACATAACCAAATTGGAGTACAGTACAATTTTTGAAAACGAACACAGAACACTGTAGCAAGACATAAAGTGGCAACCAATCAGAAGCTTCGAGGTCATTTCCATGCGCATCGTTGACCTCAACTTTTGAAGAAAAAAAAACCACTCCAGGAAACACCCATACTAAAAGAATTGATTACACCAGAGTCGTTATCACATTTAAATACTTTTACAAGGGCCATTGTGCAATGCTAAATTATTTTTTTGGGGTCAGTGGAAATACAAGCATAGACCGCTAATTAGTACCATTTTCTGAGGATGAGGATGGTGATGGTGATGCTCTATCTGTTGATACAATTTTCGGTGGTAAAACTGGTTTCAGCTTATTAGCTGTAAAAAAAACACAAACACAAAACACCGTATCACATGAATGTTGTTAGTATACTTTCATTGCTCACGAAAATATTAACCGAGCACCAGGACACTTTCAGGAGTGTGCCCCTGATCGCAGATGATTCGCCACTTCCATGTGTGTCGATGCACTTCACTCGATACAAAGTTGCAATGGAATTCACTTTCACGGTGGCGCTGTGGAGGTTGTCCTGCCACCGACGGGGGGCGGGGGGGGGGGGTCATCGCTCAGGACCATAGGACGGGGACGAAAATATATATACGTATTTTTAAAGTGAGGGCCGAACTGTACGATTTTTCATGGATGAAATCACATTTTTAAACTCTTTGGCTCTTTCGGTAACGTCACGTAGATATCTACGTGACTTTACCGAAAGATCCAAATAGTATGAATTCCTGCAGTCACGAAAGCTTTAAGTCAAGATTTAACATTTTTTTTATGAATTCTTCAAAAGAAGAAGTGAGGTGAGCATCCAAAATTCAAGGGGGACGCAAGCTTGCTTCAAGGTCTGGGCCAGGAATCGGAAAACCTGCAGCTCTGGATCTGCACGCGGCTATTTAATGACTGCTTTGTGACCTTATTGAGTTTTTTTTATTATTTCATTGCAAGCTGGTAAGTATATTTGACGGGGCCAATCCCAGTTAATCATAGCCACCCACTGCTGCCTATGCTCAGCAGTTATGTTGGAAACAGAAGGGCACTGAGGAAGAAAGCTTGACGTTTAGGGTGCTGCACAAAACCACTTTTCTTAAATTGCCAGTGTTCTGTATTTATAACATAATTGGTATCATTTGTAATGCGAGTTGTACAATGTAGCACACGTAAAACACACCGGTTGATTATCAGACACCGGTGCAGCATTGGTGCAGCCATGAGTGTACTGCACTACAAATCTACCAGCTTGAGTTTCATTCATAACCCCAGCTACTACAATCAGTGCCGAGTGATATCTAAATATGCCTCGGACCCTCTTCGGCGTGGTGAAGTAAGGACCTTCATAACTTGCATGTCGTGGGTGAGGGGTGGTCCTTCATCCAGCAATGGATTGAGAGTCTGAAATTATAACTTAGTGGGGTTTCTTTTTAATCATGGACATCGGCCAAAGAAGAATGTGTTTAATCACTATGTACTTGTCTTCTGTGAAATACGGTTCAAAAACACGATCGTTGATAATATATATATAGTATTAAAAAAACTGAAGCAAGCATGGCGAGATAAATGCTTGGATTAAAATTAAGAGAGAGAAAGATGATTTCATGGATGAGAGAACGTGTGCATGTTAATGACGCCATTGAAGCTTTTAATAAAATACATTGGGCATGGGCAGGACAAGTCACTAAGAAGGGGGTGATGGCCAAGGAATGAAATGCAACCGAGAGGAGAGACACCGACAAGATGGAGGGATGAAATCAGTTCGTGTGTAGGGACCACGTGAATTGTGACATTGGATCGTGAGAGGTGTCAGCCATTTTGGGGAGGCCTTCAATCAGCAGAGCCTGGCTGTGGATGTATGTTAGTATGTTGAACCTCTCTCGCACTGTACATAGCCAACCGTGATAATTGGAGGTGCGGGGGAATGACAACAAACTAAACACGACAATCAGTTCTAAAGAAATGAGTTTTCAATTTAGAATTGGATGATAGATGGTTGGCTAAAGTCTGAACATTGACTCAAAAGTAATTACCCTTCCATGTTAATAATCATAAATAAATGATTGTGTTTTGTATTTATGTCATGCGAGAAATAAAAGCCATTTATTTCTTCAATTTAGTAAAATGTTTTCATTACAATGTGAATAATGAAGCTATTGATTGAAAAGTCTCCTTTTGCTTATTTCATTACTGCACAAAGGTCGTTGGTACTCACCAACAAGTGAGAGCTTTTAAATATTTATACTTAACAAAATAAATGGCCTTCAGGAGCATAATACGAATGCTAAATAGGTGCTCTTCCAAGATGTCTGAACATCGTAAAAGAGGAAACCAAATCACCTCTTCAAGGGTTCTCTTCAGAGCTCCTTCCGGAGGAAGCCGTTCAGCCAGTAGTGATGGTAAGCAAGCAATTGCAGGGGCTGCACCATTATTTTAAATAATTCGTTTGTATTTGTTTATATACATGTACCACATAATAATAGCAGTTTCATGTGTTAAGTTCCCAATGAAAATGTCCAATATGCTGTGCAAACACACTTGGGTTTTATAAACCTCTGTATGGAGACAGCTGCTGCGGGTGTAATAACCTTGCCAATGCGCGTCGTCTGCTTCACAGCGGACTTAAAGATCACCTCATTCACAAAAGTAGGCCATTGAATGCCGACGTCAGCGTGCAGTGTTTTTTTAAAATCGAAGATTCGAAAATGATCAGCAAATGACTCAATTGGGAAGATACACATAGCAGGCCAGATGGCTGAGTCACCTAATGCTCACAAGGGCAGCTGCCACTCGGAGGGTGCCTTTGATAATGTATGAGGCGTGATGCAACGTGCTCGGAGGGCAATATATACGTATAAAAAATATTTCATTACTTCCATATCTTGCTCTGTGATTATCTATCTCTGTCTCTGAGGCACACTTTTGCCTCATCTGCAAAGGGCTTGAATTACACAGCGTATGGATGTATAGCGTATGGATGTGTTTCATTTTCAGATTGTAAAAAAAAAATCTCCACAAAATCGGGCCTAGATACTATATTTTGGGTGGAATTATTTTTAATTTAATTTCGATCGGCCTAAAAATATGGCATCGCAGGAAATACCATCACAAACAACGAGTTACTTGCGTGTTTTCCAGTCAATATGGCATGGCATTGGGCGACGTCACGTGTGTTCGCGCGCAGACAATTTAAATAATTATTCGACGTGAATGATCCAAAACTATTTTTTTTAATCCAAAATCGGTCCTTGAAAATCTGAAATAGAAATCTGGCCTAGATACTACATCTCTAGTAAAGAGTAATTGTAAAACTGACTGAGGAACTCGCAAGCAGCAAGGCTTTTGTGGAATAAATAAATATGTTGACAATATCTGTGTCAAATCCAAGAAGAGTGCACTAAACCAAAATAATAATTGTCTTCATTTTATAAAGCGCCTTTCATATCAAAATATCTAAAGTGATGTACATTAAAAAAACGCTCACACATATCTATAAAAGCCAATTCAACTAGAGGAATGGTCGATACACGAAACTATGTTTTCAAGCTGGATATAAAAGTGCTAAGTCACAATTGCTGTTATAGGCGGTAGCAGTTGTAATTATATTTCAATCATGGTTGCTCAGCACAGGCCAGCAACAAACAGCACTCATACAGGTGTGATCGATGAGTTAAGACGTTTCTAGAATCGAGCAAGGTTGTAAAAGGGATGGAATTCCAACGTTGAGCAGTACGATGAAAGAAACAGAAAAAGCAATATGGTTCTTGAACACAGTATGGGCGAGATGTATGTATGTTCAATTTCTCTCCCAGCGTACGTAGCAAACCGTGCTAATTTGAGGTGCGGGAGAAGGACAATGAACTAAACACAAAACGCAGTTATAAGGAAATCAGTTTTCAATCTACGTGTAAAAGTGCATTACTCCAATTGCTTCCTAATATCGGAAGTAAAAGCGTTCCAGACGGCCGCAGAAGCGCATTTCAAAGCTCGCGATGCAGTGACCATCTCTGTGAAAGTATGCTGAATCAAGTCCTCAACATGGGTGCAGGAACCAAGGAGTGTAAGTCCATGGGAACAGTAGCAACAGTAGTAACGATACAAGAGTACACTTAGTGTTGAAATTAACAACAATAGTCGTAAACTGTCTGCCTCCCCCACCAGAGCTTTTCAATGCATATGTAATGTGAGGTTATATCCGGGTCGTTGACAGATTACAACTCGTCACGATGATTGGCTCTGCCGGTCCTGGTCCATAGCCAATGGGGGGAAGCCGAGGGGCGTGGCCCTGACGTAATGGAAATGTGACAGCTGTTTGTAGAGGATTGGTTCTGCTGGCTTTAGCCACAGCCAATGGGGGGACGAGTCAGGGGCATGGTCCCGGGAGCCTACGGTGGAGTCTGGAAGATTCCATAGAGGCTAACCAGGATTGGTGGAAATGTGCCACGTGACCCGGGTATTGAATAGGGGTGGAGACGAACAACACGTGGTCAGAACTGGAACGAACGGAGAAGGAGGCCACGCGAGAGCGGGGGTCCAAGTTGCCACGTGGCTGCGCGCGTCTCTCTCTCTCTATCCCTCTCACGCTGCCTGTCAGCAGCGTGAAGGAAGTGCTGTAATGAAAAGCGAATAAAGACCGGATTCCAGAAGTCGCCTCAACGACCTTTATTACACATATGAACCCCTTTGAATGTCCACATCTACGTACAAATCTGCATAATTGAACATGTCTGACCACAATGTGCTATGCGTTTGTTCAGGGTGTTTTTGTATTTTGGCTTTTCCTGGGCAGCGACTCTCAGCATTATTGAAGCCAAATCCACGCGCAAAGCTTTTGCAGGCACCGATGTACCTGACAGTTGCTGTCCCGTAGAATTCGGTTCGCTCTCTGCGCCTACAAACAGCTCCATGTATAAATCAGTTTCCAGCGCGTCTTCGTAAAGCACATCCTCTGCAAAGGTTATAAATACATGGTATCGTTCGCGATGTAACCACCTTTGGTTGTGTGCGCGCGCGTGTGTTTTGTGTGATAAACGCACGCGAGTGTGCACGTGAGTCAGTAAACGCGAGTAGGTGCGCGATGCGTCGAGATGCGCGCGTCACTGGTTTGTTGGACGTATGGCGTCAGCATTCCGTTGGTGGCTTTGACGAAATAGTCTACGACTCCATGCAGTGACATCACCTCCACCTAAGCGTGGTGCAACACGGGGGGAGGGGTCGCAGGGGGAAGACATTAGGGGCCGTCCATAAATTACATCACGCGATTTTGGACGATTTTTGACCCCCCCCCCCCTCGTCACACGCCGTCACAAAAAGTCAGACCCCCCCCCTCAAATATGACGTCACAAAGCTCTGCCCCCCCCCCCCCAAAATAAAACATGCTTCAAATCGCTTTAAAACTATTGTCATTGTAGTGCGTATTCAATGTGGCACTGCACTCTGATGTTGTAGGAGAAAACATTAATAAAAAAGTATATTTAATTAAATATGTATTTAAAGTTGCGCATTTGGACGTCAGATTTCTCAAACCCCCCCCACCCTTCGTCACACATCGTCACAAATGTCTGACCCCCCCCCCACCCCCTAGGTGCGTGACGTCATTTATGGACGGCCCCTTACCCAGGTCGACCCTTGCATGCATTGGGTGCGATTGTGCGTGTGCCATTTAAAAAAGTGCACAAGCTCCCAGTGGCTTTCTAATAGTGGGAGGGTGTAAACATGCGTGGCTGATGACGGCGGCGATTGAATGACGGATACTTTATTGTTGTTACTATTGTTACATTTGCAATTGGTTAACCGGGAAACCCACACGAAGTCTCAAGACCCCTTTTTTTCAGGAGTGCCCTGCCAAGTCCCCACCGGAGGTGGTGCTTTCGCTAAAGTAGGATACGACAGTACTGTCCTGTATGTACATTTCCTGTTCAGGAATATGCGCTAATGTTAAAAAAACTAACACTTTTGAAAAGTTTTAAACATTATTGTGACTATAATTATGCCATTTCTATGCTGTAATCACGTAGCCAAGCGATTAGCTAGGTAGGCTACGTACGGTGCGAAAGAAGTTCAACATACATACACGCAAGTTCAATGTCAATCATATTTAACCCAATGTGACACCACGTGGGGAGAGCAGTTGATGCAATGGTTCGCCCACTGCACTATGAACACAATGATGTGAGTTTGATTCCTGACCATGACTACCACGAGCGTAGGTGAGCCAAATTTGAACCCGTCCTGGGCCCTCCCCCCCTATCGACGACTCTTACGGTGAATTATTCTCAAACAACAACGGCCCTCTGGAAGCCTTCATCCAGCAGTCGTTTCGCGACTGATGGGGCCGAACGAATTTCAGCCGTGGTTCTCTTACTAGAGGCGGCATTATTGCGTCGTTAAGTCTCAATTTATCTTCTAGATTGTTTTTTTTTTACCGCTGCATCTATTCTAACTGGTTTTTTTTGTCTCCCCGCCTCCTCCGCCCTTCACACCGACTTGTGTTGTGTGCGGCATCGCCCGGGCCCGTTCTCATAACGCATCCTGACCGCTCATGGTCTTCTTTTCGTTGCCTTGGTCTAATACGGTTGTTTTCACTCGAAACCCATTTCTTATATCGCTTTTGTTTAAGCCTGTGCAGGCGAGCTACTCAGAGTCCTTCTAATCGCAGTCACCAATATCTTTATTTTATTGAGTTTCCTTGATGTCAAGAATTCTGTGCCATATTACAGAACTAGAGCTACCATGGACTCGTAAAGTATATTTATATATTGATGACATCAAGTGGCACCTCTGAAAAGTTGTAAATGTTTTTCACTCGCTAGAAACCCATGACCACGAGGTGAGATTAATTCTGTAATTTGGAGATTGAAAATAGATAATTAAAAAATGTAAGATGAATCTGGATCATTTTTACGAGGTGGATACATCATTATTAAACCACGAACCACTGTATTAATGTGCAGGGTACTCACTTTTTTAGTCAGCTCAATGATGTATCGTTCATGTTTATATGTTACTTTGTAGTGTTGTGGTCGATGAGGCCTACATTCGAAGAAGAAAATAAGTTAAAAAATGTGTTACAATAAAGCGACAGAAACGTAATATATGTATAAAAACATAAACCCCCCATACATACCCTTAACTCTTGGGGCAAGTGCTGTTCACGAGCACGTAAAATATATACACACACACACATGTAGACAAGTCCACACTTAAGGAAAGAAAGTAGGACTTTGCCAAAATAATACATTATGATTTCAACTATGAAGAAGACAGTTCCAGAATCGAACGAGTCGGTTATGAATCAAATACATTTTATTTGTCCATTTGACAATAAATAATCATCCCTATTTATTAATTTAGTACATGCAAATACACAAGATCGCATTTATAATTTCTACCAAGGCCGTAATTATAATATATATTGGGGGGGACACATCCCACAATATTCAAATATGCTCAAAATGTCCCCCCCCCCCAATACATTGCTTTAAACAATATTAAAAATAAAAATTGTTATGCTATGTAAATAAAAACAACAATTTTCTAAACCTTGGCCACAATATCTGGACTTGTCTTCATATAACAATGCATAGATTTCTGTTCATATGATTGTGGTTATACTTTATTAATCCCTAATCTCTGCCATTACATACAATGAAACAAGTAAAGGTAAAAAAGAAAAAAACAGAGCAATATAATACAATACACCATTAGACATTAGTATAAAAAATGAATAAAAAGTCCATCTCATGTGTTAGTGATTTTTTAAATATTTTATGCAGGAAATTAGTTTTGAAATTTAGATTTTTTTTTCGGGGGGGGGGGGACCCCTGGAAGGTTTGGTCCCCCCCAATGTTGACTCCATGGCTACGGCCTTGATTTCCACACTACGGAGTGAGTTAAAATCCCTTGTGTGTTTTGTGCACACACTACTTATATGTAGGTGTTTCAATCGCCAACAGATATGGGATGTTTTGTATGGGCATTCGTGTGCGTTTCATTTTATAGCATGTACACAACTGCTGAGACGCTATATAGACTGATCCGTTGATTATTAATTATCACGACGTGTCGATTACAACACAAGCAATCATCATCAGGTGTGAAAACCACAGCAAGAAAAAAATTGCTGAAGTGGGCATTTTTTTCTTTCCGTGGTTTTCCCACCTGATGATGATTGCTTAGTGTTGCAATCGAAACGTCGTGATTTTTTTTCTACCTACGTGACTTTACCGAAAGAACCAAAGAGTATGGATTCCTACAGTCACGAAAGCTTCAAATCAAGATTTTAATTATCAGCCGAGATGAGACGACACATTGGTTGTGAAAGTTTGAACCAGGACGGTCGAAGGTCATCTAACCGGTTCAGAGGCTGGAAGTGGCAAACTGAGACGGAGTAGTCCACGTTGTTGCTGGCTGGACGGAGGAGTAGGTTGCCCAGCTCCGGATGCTCTTGCAGCATTTTCTCAGCCTCCACGCGATCCACTTTGTAGAAGCATCTGCAGGAACCAAGAAACACACCGTGTTGTGCCTCTTGAAACGTTGCAGCCTGGAGACGTGTTTTGTACGTAATTCTCATGCAAAACCATTTGGGGTATTATTTTGTTTATCTCGCTGCTCTGATGGGGTTTTCGGGTTGTACACCGTGCGGTGTTCGACGTTTAGCCGGCAGCTGTCGCTGAACCGTGGCACATCAGTGCCGAATAGCACACGGTGACAACCCGAACACCGATCAGCGAGCTAGCTGTCCAGCACCACCGCGAAAACCTCCGCTAGCAGATTCTTATTCAGAGTTAAATTTACACCTACAATCTAGTTATGGCCCTGATAGCTATAATTTGGCAGAAAAAAACACAATTAGATACGAAACTATTGTATCTACCGGGTAAGGCTCACTGAGCTATATACAGTAGCTCTTTTTCAAAAACGACCTGTCCACCGATTATAGCTCAACGAAGTGGCTTATCATGTCGAAATGTATTACAGCCAAATACTAAAAACGCATGTTTTTAAATGTGGAGGGAAAAACCAGAGGACCCGGAAAAAAACATCCACGCGACCACAGGGAGAACATGCAAGCTCAAAATATACAGCAGGCGTCAGGGTCAGGATCGAACCCATGACCTTCTGCATACCAGGCGAGGGAGATAACATCTCTTCACCACGACGCTCCATAGTAAAGCAATAAATATTGTGCATCAGAGTAAAGCAAAATACTTAAGCAAATATTTGAAATTGCTCGACTGATAATTATTTAACAGCGTGTGCGGTTTACAGCCTATAAATACAGTACACATGTGTAGTGACATAAGAAGGGAGGGGCTGCTGGGGGCTCTGGGATCCCAGGCGAGTCCAGACGCTTAAGCCTCTGGGCGCCAGGCGCTGGGTTCCCAGGGGGTCCAGACGCTTAAGCCTCTGGGCGCCAGGCGTTGGGTTCCCAGGCGCTTAAGCCTTTTTGGCGCCGCCAACGGGGGGGGGGGGGGGGGGGGGCTGTGTGTGCTCTGTGGGATGTCTGGTGGCGCACACGGCCCCACCCCTCGTTGGACCAGGCATAAAAGGAGAGCTCCCTGGACGATCAGGGCCCAGTTGTAACTCAAGACCCAAGACCCACGACCAGCCATCTGAAGACCCTTGGATGCTGTGAGAGCCAGCGCTGGGACTCTGGAACTCCCGACTCTACGACCTTGTGAGGGCGAGTTCCGGAGCGTAGCCAGAGTAGAGTATCTAGGCTGTGTAGCTAGGCTGTGTAGCTAGGCTGTAACAGAGTATCAGGACTGTTGGAGAGTTGGACTGTTGGAGTGTTGTATCGTAATAAAGAAGTTACCTCTACAAGCGTCTCCGGAACCCGTTACACATGTAGCACGTACAGCCCTATTGCCAATCCACTGCTGGATGGCCATACTTCACCACGCTGGAGAATGTGGGTTTGGTAAAGGTGGTAACCATTAAATTATTGTATTTTGGTTCACTGCCCCCTGCTACTCACCACGTAGCAGAGCACCACGGTGACAAAGACAACGACAAATATTCCCCGTAAAGCCTTCACGGACTCACTATGAGATCTCTTTTACCAGTGGCAAAATATAATAGTAGGTTTTTACCCTTTTAACTGGTACAAAACTGACACCTTTATTCAAAGCATCATGTTTGCAATGACCACAACACAAGTAGTCAAAAAAGCAAACAAAAAGAAGCAACTCTGATAAGGATGATAGGACAGTGCATATTATCATCCTTATCAGAGTTGCTTCTTTTTGTTTCCTTCACGGACTGTTGGGGAAAGTGCTGTTACACGAGGGAGTGGATGGCCAGCACCACTCCCCATCACAATTGTTTCCCGAGTTGCTGTGATTTCACCTTGCATCAGGTCCTCACTTGAAGGTGAGTCGACCGAGGGGAGGCACAGGACTAATTCGGAATGTCGTGTTGGCCATGAGCGGGAGTCTAATTCGGGTGGCCGGGTTCAGGGCGCAGTGCGATAACCTCTACACTACCGCTCGACACACATAGGGTTTAGTTACACACAGACACACACACACACACTGTAGACATTTACCAGATTGAATTCATTTTAAGATATGAAAATACAGACAACGTTAATCACCTGGGAAACAGCAACTCTGCTGAATAGAAATTTTCACTGTCTGTCTCCACTGACGTAGCCCCTTGCGTTGGCCTCGCCAGAGGTGATTGTTGGGGTAATTGTGGCTTTGGTACAGGTAGTGGCGGCAGTGCGTGTGATGGGGTCTCTGGGCCTGGCCTGCTGAAGGGGAGCTGTGATGGAGAATCCGCTTCAGCCAGCCTCGCCCTCTTCTCTGCCTCTATGGCTTTGAGCACCCGCTGCGAATCTTCCAGGGGCAGGTGCGAATCTTCAGGCACCTTGAACTGATGGAAATACAACATCGGAAGGCACTTGTCAGTTAAAAGAGATGTATATGGTGACGGTGAGAGATCGAGGAAAGAAATCTGTATTCATAGTTGATATTAACCAACTCACGTACCGACTTGTTAAACAAGACGTAACGTATCAACAAGAGAAGACTTGTAAATACGGAGAGTCTGGTGTGTGTGTGTGTTTGCATTTGAGAGGTAGTGTAGCAGTAAGCGTGCTCCGTAACGAACTCAGCGATTTCGATACCCGTTCATGGCCAACACCAGTTACAATTGTCTGAAACAATCCAGGGCCTCCCCTAGGTCGGCTCAGCCTCAAATGGACACCTGGTGTGATGTGTAACCATAGCCACTAAGGGAGACAAAGGCAGCCAGGAGTGGTGCAGGCTACCAACTCCCTCGTGTGCCGTGCCGGCCTTCAAAGATGCTCGCTAACAGCACTTGCCCTTACAGTCTGTGAAAGCTAAAACGGGTATCTTTGTATTTGTTTGCATCTGAACATGTATTTTGTGCAAACGCCTCGCTCAGGAAATATAATATTGTGAGGACACAGTTCAGGAAAACAATGTTGCCAATAGTCTTATGTTTAAGTGCTTGGAATGAAAATCCGCAGCACATACATTTCAAATACAATTTAGATTGTATATAGCATCTATGTGAAGTATTGGAATTGACGGCAGGAACTTCTTGACGGGTAACACACTTTAATTAAATCTTTACGTTCCCCATACAACGTGTGGTCTCCTTTCTTCCGACTACACACTCCACTTAACTCGTGTAGACTCTATGGTTCTGACTACACCCAATACACTTGACTCGTGTAGACCCTATGCCTCTGGCTACACACAATACACTTGACTCGTGTAGACCCTATGCCTCTGGCTACACACAATACACTTGACTCGTGTAGACCCTATGCCTCTGGCTACACACAATACACTTGACTCGTGTAGACCCTATGCCTCTGGCTACACACAATACACTTGACTCGTGTAGACCCTATGCCTCTGGCTACACACAATACATTCGGCTCGTGTAGACCCTATGCCTCTGGCTACACACAATACATTCGGCTCGTGTAGACTCTATGCCTATGGCTACACACACTACACTCGCCTCTGGGTTACACAGAGTCCCGGTCCCGTTAGGACTGCGGGACTAGGTACCGCAGGGCCCTAGGTCTTCATCCCCGTCTTCATTCTTCGCTGGTTACATACTGCCCTTACGCCTGTGTGCATCCCCTTTTATAGCCCCTGCTCACGAGAGACGGAGCTGATCCGGACGTCGACGTGAGCATCGTTCCCTAGTGGACCAATCACGACGCACTCTCTCTACGATCCGTTTTCCCCAGCGCATGTTAACACTCCTCTACCAATCACACCGCGCTGCCACCCTATCACTCCCTCTCAGCGCGTCACGGGCCCACAGCCAATCAGTACCCCGTAACCCACGACCCCGCGCTGACCCCTGATCCTCCACCGTCAGCGCGCGTCACCACCTACACAGCCAATCATTACGCGCTGGCATACGATCCCTAATCCCAGCGCGTATCACCTCTACATATGTATGTTAAACTTATTTCGCACCATACACAGCAAACCATGTCTCAAGATGCTGTACAGAAACAGTGGGTGTTTTCGTAGAGAAGCAGTCACAAACAGAGGGAAATGTAAGGTATTAATTTTGGACTTGGACAGAGGCTTGCCACCACAGTTGACTGGGGAGAGTTCCAGACCTTGGGAACAGCAGAAAACAGTGAGTGACCTCCCACTGAGCAAATGCTGACTGAGTACTTCGGGAGAAAGCCTTCAAATAGAATGAGATGAGACGGGAGAGGTAGGCAAGGGTGAGTCAATGGAGTAAAGACGGCGAGAGCATATGGAAATTGTAACACTGATTTTTATAACGTGTTCCGTAGTAATGTTAGCAGTAGCAGACATTTTGTTTACTGGGATAGATTCCAATGAGGCATTAGTCTCCAACAAGGGAGGCCTGGATTAATCAAGCACTTTACAGGCACGTCCTATGCATGTGTATTACATTTGTAGCGGGTCCAATTGAGTCGCAGACGTTGTTCCTTTTAGAGGCAACACATTTATTGTAACACCTAACACAAAGGGGTAACTGTCCCTTTGCCAGATACAGTCCTAGGGTGGTGACTACCAGGCTAACTACACTATACGTAGGCGTTACAGCTACGAAGGGTCGGACCCTCTCACTCGGGTCCGCGACCACGTGTTTGCCTCGTAGGACGTGGAGCTTCCAGCTTGTAGAATACAGTGACCCCGGTTCCTTTCAGGGACCCGCCTTGTATCCCTCCACGCGTCGGGGCCGCTCCGCCCTTGGCCCCGCCCCCTTCCTGAGCCTTCCAGTTCCCTCTAGATCCCTCTCGAGAGCTCTCCCCGGACACGTGATCACCCCCTAGCCCCCCCCACCTGGAGGCCTCTCTGTGGACACTCTAGATCACGTGTCTGCAGGGCCAACCAAAGTGCCATGGCTCAGGGCAACCCTGCCTTGGGCTGACACCCTCTCATTCCCCCATGTGGGGCCCTCACCACACGCTGTGCGTGGTGCTCGCGCTATCCCGGCGCACACCAAGCCCCGCGAGGGCTGGTACTACACCCGCCTACGGGGTGTACGCGATGACGGTGCATCGCGTGCCGTGGCCATCTCAGGCCGGCACCATACATTGACATCCCCGATGTCACTAGTCACTACACATTTGACGTCAGCAAGTTGACCTCTAATAAAATGGATTACAAGAACCAACCAGAGGCGTTTCTAGAAGTTCCCCAAGGGAAGGAGTTTTTGAAGAGGGCTCTATATTGATGGGGCGAAAACATATTCAATGTTTTTCCTCTGGTAAATATAAATAAAATGTCAAGTTTTTTTGTATTCGCCACTGCAGCGGACGCATTTCTCCGCTGCAATACGATGCTGTACTGCATGTGTGCCAATTTACATACCTCCGTAACTGCGAACATAAATGCTCTCCACAATTCCATGCAGCCCATAGAGTCCGCCTGCAAAAGCCAAGCAAAGACATAGGCATGTTGGCTCCGTACTTCGCCACCTTGGTCAGTGTGGGTTGTTGATGGCGGGCAGTGAATTTAAAGGTTCAGGCCGACAATTACAGGGCTGCACCTCTGGCCCTTATTTCTTCAACCCCCCCACCCACCACCGCATCTGCCCACCCATTATCAAAGGCAGGGCACATGCGGTGGAGTAACGTGTAGTTACTCCCACCTCTCCCAAGACGTCTGTCCAGCATGAAAGAGTAGGCCAAATATCTACTAGAGTGGCTCTCCAGAGCTCCCTCTAGTGGAGTCCCTACCTCCAGGAGTGGTGTAGGCAAGAATGGGTAAGTGGCACGTGTTTTCTACCCTCAACTTGACTTCTGTAGTGCCAGTCTTGAGTGTAATTTTGGCGGTAGAGCCGCCAATTTTCGTCAAGTACTTGGTGGTGACGGTGAGTGGCGATTTCAAGCAGATTTTTTCTCCACACTAGCAGGGGGGGGGGGGGAGAGGAAAAAAATACAAAAATGCAATTATTCAGGTCACCTAAAAGCACAGTTCAATATTATATATATATAATATCAACAAATAGTGCCTTTTAATTTCAAAGGGTAGCCTCACAGAGTGACTTTTTTTCATGTTGGCCTTGCATTGGCCAATTCAATATGGCACTGACAATTTTCAGTGTGGTTTGCAGATAAAATATATATTTTTCTGAAATACCAAATGAAAATGTGAAATGTCCACATTCATAGTTTATGGCCAAGGTTGGCACTCCCTACAGAGGCATCTGATAAATATATATTACAGATTAAACAACAGTTACCATGGGTGGAGAGGTGGCGTAGTGGCTCGCTCACCACGCTGCGAACCCGGCGACCTAAGTTTGATTTCTAGTCACGTTTCATGTCAACGGTGAAGTTATATCTGAACCGGTCCTTGGCATCCCCTTCACCGGCCTCCAAAACAACTCCAATGACCGACCAGGCACGGGAAGGCCTTTCGTCCAGCCGTGGATTGACAAAGGGCTAACTTTTTTTTGTTATTGTATATCCAGTGCCACGTTGCGTTCATGATATTTGAGCGGAGCAGGTTTCAGTGTGTTGAGATAATTATAATAGTCATGAGAATTATAAATATCAGCAGCAACTACATTTCCTTAAACATGCGAATTGGATCCTGTGCTCATTGTGAGAAGAAAAAAAGGCTCAATGCATTTTGACGAAAATATTTTGAGCTTTGCTGATGAGGCTCAGACTGGGTTGATCCAGTAAAAACTGGCTCGTCATTGCACCACTCTACATTTTGAACAGGTTGTCCCAAAAAAACAGATCACTATGCCAACACAGAATACATTCGACACTGTGGGATTTCCCATTGTACCTTTACTCCTAAATTGTAACAACAAAAAACCTAGCAAAAACATTAACAATTAAATGTAACGTCACTTACGAACAATGTAAGTGACTTAAACAATTATTCGTAAGTAAGTAGTGCTATCATTTAAAATATGGTACGAATTCATAAAAAAATATATTTTCAGTAATACGAGTAGAGAATCCGTTTATCTGCAGCTGCAAAGAAGAGACAGCTGTCTCTAACAATCCTCTTGCGTTCATACATAATAATAGATCTTGTGAGTTTCCATAAATTTCCGCTGTACTTAAATAATATTCCGGGTGAAAAATTGTAATATTAATAGGTGTACAATTTAAAAGTTACAACCATTTTAAATGAACCTCGTCAATATTCTGCATTCGTTACTCCCACCTCTTATTGGCTGCTATCTATAAATATCTTGCATACTTCTTCCGCCATTTACATACAATGCATTGTGTATTTGTGTTACACGGAAAAAAGGTCCCATGATGTAGCTGCTCACCCCGAGCCATAAATTATCTGATACGTGTGACATTTTTCGATTTAAAGCTTTCGTGACTGCAGGGATTCATCTTCTTGGTTCTTTCGGTAAAGTCACGTAGAAGGGACGGCTGCTTGCGTTGTGGCCGAAACGTCGTGAGAATTATTTTATTATGTTTTATTATTTTATTATTTTTTTACTTCCCTTCTACGTGACTTTACCGAAAGAACCAAGAAGACGTGTGCCATTGTTGTTGTACTGTTCGTCTGTTGGCGTTCTCTGGTCTGACACTGGTGATACGAGGCGATAAAGAAGGCCGTCTCTGGTGTAGTCGAATCAGTTTCAAAGACAATGCAGATATAATTATCAAGTGTGTTTTTTGCATGTTTACCACAAGTGCGAGTGGATAATGCAGACTTGATTCTTTGCAAAAGGTTTCTCTTTGGTGTTTGAATATCTTCATACCTCTTTTATTGCCAGAAAGGGTAAAACCTATTCTTATTTTTCATACTTTGATACTGGCAAAATGTTTCATGATATTTAGCCAAAGAATATTATATGTAGCCAGTTACCCAGCTAATTGTTTTTGGTAGCAACAGCCCGCAGCAGCCACTAAGAACAACAACGTTGTAATTGTCGAACGAAGAGGAGACCAGCCAGCAGCCAACCAGGAAACTGGAGGCATGGGATATTTTGAATAGTTTTACGATTAGTACTTTATTAAATACATCATATGAAAACATAGGTATTGGTCTAAATAGTTTTATCCACCGACAAAGACATGGCTTCATGAGTGAAATGAACACAATAAATGTTCCTGCTTTTGTTCAATGACAGTAATATTCCATGTGGCATCAAATGGACAGGCTATATCTTTGTTGGAAGAAGCCAGTGTAGTTTTGATGTGTCAAGGTGGTTAAGGTAAGAATGCACACTCACGAATTTAATACCAAAAACAAATCAACACAGGCGTCAATAAAACTGTGGCCTTAAAAGGAAAAATATATAATAGGTGACGTTTGAGGCAATGGCCCTTCATCATGGCAATGCCCACAGCACCACCTCTTACATACTTGTCCTTTTAAGGTCACTGTTATATTGACGAATGTGTTGCATTTGTGTTGTTATTTGAGCATTTGCATAACCGGTAATGCAGCAGTATCATCACTTATTTTGTTTACCTTTCAAGTGGGTACATTTACATTATCACCATCATCATTTGTTACAGTACTTATACCACACCTCCCTTGCAGTACATCTAAGTGTGCTATAAGAATTTGAGAGAACTACTTAGCAATTGAGTGATTGCAGACCAAACACAATGATGAAAAATAATATAGTACAGAAAATATACACAACCAACACAATAAACATAGTTGAAAAGCCAAACTGAAATACTTAGTTTTTTCTGCACTTGAATTGAGGATTGTATACATTCTCTGAAATTGGCTATTATATATTCTTACATTGATTAATGGTAGGTTGATTGATGACATTTCAGGGTAAACTTTTCACAACTTCAGTACCAAACACCAAAAGCCCGTTGTGCAATTCTTAATTAAATTTGCCGTTGTGATATAAAACAAAAACACCGATCATAATTTTGAAATCATTCTTCCAATAATAGTAGCTCTCAATTTTGTAAGAGCTAAGAGGTTGTTTACCTTGTGTAGTTGATATTCACCGTTTCTCCTGCCCACATGCCCTGGTGCCTGTGTATCACAATGAACGGACGCACATATACAGACCCTCATGCGCCAAGTCTGCATTATGTATGCATTCTCAGAGAGAAAATGCATATGTCCACATGATAAAAAAAAATACCATTTAAATGTGCAGCCCTGTGATTTTTGCTCATGCCTCTGCTGGCAGAGGGCCCTTCCCTATAAGGAGCGACAGAGAGCCCCTCCAGTAGGTATTTGACCGCCTGTTCCACGCTGAACACATATCTCGTGGGACCACGCACACTTTACCCCACCACACCTGGCGATCGGTGTACTAATTCATGCGGCTGGGTGGACAGAGATGGGGGGAGAAATACAACAACATACTTTGCCTATTGTTTCAAGTGCCATGCCGGGAGTTCGAAATTGCCCACGAAAGTTCTAACCATTACACCACGACAGTATCCCACCTGGCAATGATGATGATGATAATAATTTACAGCCCAGTGGATCAATGCCTCCCAGCGCCATATAGGTCATGGGAGGTGTTTAATGACACTTCACCATGCTTGTCGATGTGTAGGCTGGCGAAGTTGGCAAGGGGAGGGCAAGAACGGTTTGGCCACTGACTGATTTCAGCCACATATTTGCTTTGAAAAAAGAAACAGAATTACAATGGGATAGTGGCGGCTCGTGACATTTACACGAGGTGGGGCTGTTGTGAGTGACCTCTGAAAATATGGTGTTATAATTAAGAAAGACCTCGTCATGTTATTGGCCTTCCCGTGAAAGTGATATAACTATCTTATATACCAACGGTAGGCATTTATAAACAATATACGAAACAAAACAACAACGCATTCAAATGCTGTCCCCATGAAATGGAATATTTCGGAGTAACTCACAGTGGTCGTTGCTAATTATTCGTTTGCTGCACCGACTGCCTATCACCGTTGCTGTTGTTTCCTCCTAGAGCGTGGAGGCAGTGAGCTGCTATATTTGCACAGTGCAAGTTCGCGTTGTGACATCGCAATTACAGCAATGGGCGCCTTTTTCACCGCCCAGAATGGGTCTCAAACGGCGCGGCTAAAATGCGAAGCTAATCGCAACGAATGAAGGGAGATATATATATACTCTTTGGTTCTTTCGGTAAAGTCACGTAAGTAGAAAAATAATAGATCACGACGTTTCGATCGCAACACAAGCAATCGTCATCAGGTGGGACAACTACTTCAGCAGTTTTTTCTTGCTGTGGTTGTCCCACCTGATGCTTGTGTTGCGATCGAAACGTCGTGATCTATTATTTTTTCTACCTACGTGACCTTACCGAAATAACCAAAGAGTATGGATTCCTGCAGTCGCGAAAGCTTCAAATCAAGATTGACGGGATATATCTCACTCAGACGCCTTCGCAGCCGCCCCGGTTTCTAATATGAACAACTTAAAATGCTATCTTCATTAGGCAATTCACGTGGAAAGAATATATATTTTAACACGACAAAAAATTTGTAGAAAAGGTATTTCTAATATATACAAAAAACACATTCCTGCGGAGGGAGCTGGTAGGAACGTTGGGTTGCTCGGTCAATGGCTAGGGTCAACGGCGGCGTGGTGTATTCCGCAAATAAGCCCGACTGTGAGGGCGGGCACAAGCCGGCGTGAGTAGGTTAAACGTTGAGTTTTATAAGGGCACCACGGGGTGACCAGCCCCTCCCCACCCAGCCCCACCCCTCCCACCCCCCACCCAGTCCCACCCTCCCCACCCAGCCCCTCCCCACCCAGCCCCACCCCTCCCCTCCCCCCCACCCAGCCCCACCCTCCCCACCCAGCCCCTCCCCACCCTCCCCACCCAGCCCCTCCACCCACCCAGCCCCTCCCCTCCCCACCCAGCCCCACCCTCCCCACCCAGCCCCTCCCCACCCTCCCCACCCAGCCCTACCCCCTACCAAGCCCCACCCTCCCCACCCAGCCCCTCCCCACCCTCCCCACCCAGCCCCTCCCCACCCAGCCCATCCCCACCCTCCCCACTCAGCCCCTCCCCACCCAGCCCCACCCTCCCCACCCAGCCCCTCCCCACCCTCCCCTCCCCACCCAGCCCCTCCCTCCCCACCCAGCCCCTCCCTGCACGACGGACACAATAATCCCCTGTGGGCTGGTGTAACCAGGAGGTTCCTACCAGTATTAATTTCGTATCTCCAGCTGCTTGGTGGGGTGGCGCCTCTACGCCCCTAGTGGACGAGCCGCGCATGCGCAGTGAGGGGCGACCCACCAGCGCCACACGCTTTGGGCCATTGCACAATCGCGGCTTCAGTCATCATTCTGCCAAAATGTGGTGGCACCGCTGACAAATCGTGTCCCACATTCCTCAAATGTAAGACGACATGGCTCGTATCTTATTGTACGTATCGGTTTGTCTATTACAGTGTGCTGAGCAAACTTAGCAGTTACGTCAGTTTGTAATTATTAAAGTAATACTGGTAGGAACCTCTGGTTACACCAGCCCACAGGGGATTATTGTGTCCGTCCGTCCGTCGTGAAGGGAGGGGCTGGGTGGGGTGGGTGGGGCTGGGTGGGGAGGGTGGGGCTGGGTGGGGGGTGGGAGGGGTGGGGCTGGGTGGGGAGGGGCTGGTCACCACGTGGTGCCCTTATAAAACTCAACGTTTAACCTACTCACGCCGGCTTGTGCCCGCCATCACAGTCGGTCATATTTGCGGAATACACCACGCCGCCGTTGACCCTGGCCATTGGCCGAGCAACCCAACGTTCCTACCAGCTCCCTCCGCAGGAATGTGTTACTGGTAGGAACCACCTGGTTCCACCAGCCCACAGGGGAATATTGTGTCCGTCCGTCCGTCGTGTCTTGGTCTCTTCAATGCCGGATGAAGACCCTCAGTGCTGTCGGTCACAGGGGGATATTGGACTCTACTTCGCCGCACTGGTTGGTGAAGAGGGGAGGGGGACCCAGAACAAATATCGCTCACCACTGATGTTAGCCGTGCCCTGGAATCGAACTCGGGTCACCAGATTTAAAGTGCAGTATGTAATTCAGCTGTGGCATTAGGGGCCGTCCATAAATGACGTGCACGCGATTTTGGACGATTTTTGACCCCCCCCCCCCCTCGTCACACGGCGTCACAAAAAGTCAGACCCCCCCCCCAAATATGACGTCACAAAGCTCTGCACCCCCCCCCCCAAAAAATATAAAAATACTTCAAATCGCTTTAAACTATTGTCAATGTAGTGCGTATTTAATGTGGCGCTGCACTCTGATGTTGTAGGAGAAAACATTTATTAAAAAGTATATTTCATTAAGTAGAACGTGTTGTCTATATTTATTTAAAGTTGCGCATTTTTATGTGACGTCACATTTCTCACCCCCACCCCCTCGTCATACATCGTCACAAATGTTCGACCCCCCCCCCCAGGTGCGTGACGTCATTTATGGACGGCCCGATAGGCGACAACATTAAGCCTGGATTTCCATCCCCGTGATACCGGACACACGGTGAAGTGTCCGTTTGCGGACTCTGTTACTCAGAATGTTCATGCCATGGAACATTTGACAACGCGTCAACATGTAAACATTTACAGGTGTTTTGCGCGTACATTCCTGTTTATCTGTAGATATCAGTGCTAAGCATTCTTTAAGAAAAAACTCTTTTGGGTGTTTAATGGGGTTGTTTGTAGGTTTCACGTGCTGTCTTTAGAGTGACGCAAGGCTGCGTCATATGCAATATAAACACAGTAATCCAGAGAGGATCTTAATCGTGATGATTGTTGTAAAGCACAATGGGTAGACAGCGGCAACCCTGCGGTGATTTCTGTTTCCGTGGCTTGTTCTCGAACACACTATCTTTCGTGTGAACCGAACGAACAATTTGTCTTATGACATGTTGCCGATAGCAGCAGTGAAAATAAATTGGGAAAAGGAGTTTAACCATCTGAAGCTTTTAATATAAATCCATTTTAAATTCTCCACTTCATAGGGATTACGTTACAAGATGGGGAGGAACGTCCAAGAGACATCGAATGCGTGATTTTTCTACTGCACTTGCAAGCGTGTTGTCAACACTACAATGCAATAATGTGAATAATCATAGTACATCCCTGACAATCTATAAAAATAAAGACCTTAATCTGTATGTCTAAAAAAAACTCCAGGGTACCTCCCGACAAGGTAGAAAGCTGAAATTTGGTACATAGGTAGCATTTAGGACACAAACAACAAGAAACATCTGAACATCCCAGATTTTTCATTTTAAGACCCCCCGCATCTCGATGTTTAAGTGCCCCATAAACATGTGTGTGCGTGTCATTGAGAAACCTTTCAAAATATAAGTGCGTTTTTCTTTTTAGTTTGATAGAGCGTTAAACAGCAATTAAAGTTAAAGCGAGAACAATTTTTCTATTTTTTTTTTGTTTTGAGATATTTCAGATTTAATTAGTTTTTAACGAAAAAATACGCATTTTATGCTGTTCAAATCTGAATAATTTGAAAACGGTAAAATATTGATTTATTTTTCGATTTAAAGCTTTCGTGACTGCAGGGATTCATCTTCTTGGTTCTTTCGGCAAAGTCACGTAGAAGGGAAATAATAGAATAATAAAAATAAAACTTAATAAAATAATTCTCACGACGTTTCGGCCACAACGCAAGCAGCCGTCCTCAGGTGAAGAACAGGTCTGTCGGAAAGACAGCGTCTGAATTATTTTATTACGTTTTATTTTTATTATTTTATTATTTCCCTTCCACGTGACTTTACCGAAAGAACCAAGAAGAAGATATAGATTTATTCTCTTTTCATAAGCCAGACATATCTAGCAATGGACATTGGCCACCACATGACCTTACTAATGTTTTCACTGTTCTGTAACTAAGAAGCTGTGAGGAATTGTGGCCGAATTCGGGCAATACTGAATCTTGTCGGTGTTGGTAATAACATAGACAGCCAGTATCCTGTATGTGCACGCTGAGTGCCTGATGCAACACTGCTTAGATGACAGATGTCTTGTGACCCGCATTTAATTACCCAAAAGGTAATATTTCTTCAAGTAAGTTGTATTTAAAACAGAAATGAATACGCAAAGTAAAAATGTTAGGGGTCAATTCATTGCGGGTCACAAGACATCTGGACAACCCTGTACAAGCCCTTAACTTACATATGCTCGCATGTCTTGCAATATGCATAGAAGTATGTTAAGCTTCTTCAGACTTCACAAGGAAATCCGAAGTCTAAAAATGATTAATTATTGAGAATTATAATTCTAGCCATTTAACAAGTCACTGTTGTATGATGTCCTCCCCGTGCCGTTTCCATCATGAGAGTGGTTTAATCAGATTTCATCGTGCTGGTCAATGCTAGTTGACGAATGAGAGCCAGGGCTGGTTCGGGTAGAACTCGCCACTGAAAATAGCCGCTGACTTGGAATCGAACTCTGTTCGCCAGGTTCATTTACGAGGACCACTACGTCACTACTCCCGCAAGTCTTTGATGTCTCTCATTTTCTTCAATATATGTTTTCGGAAACAAGCAAATGTGATGTTAACTTGGAGTTCATTTTTAAGTTTTCAGTTGGTTGTTGGCAACAAAAATTCCGATTTAGGATGGGTTTTTTTTGCAGAGTTAATTAAATGTCTTATATGTATGATAAAATAACAACGCTTAACTTTTGTGTTTAAATGTATTGCCTCTTATAACAATTCGCTTTTAATGTGCTTTTCAAAGGGATGCTGATCCGTTGTAATGGTGAGCACACTGGACTTGCAATTCAGAGGTTGCCGGGTTAGATTTGATCTTCCGGCGTGGCAGCTGAAACAACATTGCAAGTTTTTTTGTTACGAATATCCTCCACCTCTGTTCCACCCAGCAGTACAAATGAGCACGTCACAGTCGACCAGTATGGCGCGTGTGGTGGTGTAAAGTGTGTGTTACTCCTACCTACGTATAAGGTGTTTGGGTCCTGTGGAAGAGTAGGCCAAATACCCTCTAGAGGGGCTCTCTCGGGCTGCACCTTTACTCTGTATCTTTTAAATACAAGGCACACATGTAAACGACGCATTGTTTTAGTTGATTTTCTTGTGCTTTCACAACAATCACAGGATACACATGAAAGTGGCTGCGATGGTATTTAATAACCTACCTTTTCGCGTTTGTCAGCGTAGAAATATAGAACGTTCCCATTTAGGACCGTCCATTGTTTCTTATATTCCTGCCAATGAAAATGTGCGAAACGTTAATGAGTGCAGAACCAGCCCCTGTAGCGTGACCTTGTTCAAATGGTGTGTTAGGAGTGTATGAAACGCGGGGAATTGTGGGGTACACAGCAAATTAGAAACACATTTTAAACAAACGTTAACGCTCAAAAGAATAAGTAACAATATGATTTGCTTTTGCCCATTATGCGTACTGCTCAAGCTCTCGAAGTTCACCGAATGAACATAGATTTAAATAAACATGAAGCTAGACTCACACAATAATTAATGATCTTATCGGCGCAAACTTAAAAAACTAATGTTTAAAGGCTTGAGAGTAAAGAAGCGCCCGGGTAATGTGCATCAATGATAAATGGTTTGTCACACAACGGCTTGTAGGAAAACGCAAAATAAAAACTTTAACGCGACAATAAAAAAAACTGCAGTGCATATACCTTGTCCTTTGATTCTTTACATGGAGATAGCCATCGTTGTGTACTCGCAGGGATAGTTTTCCCACAGGTGAACACTCTGCCATTCCGTTGTTTCAACCCTTCAGACCTTTGCCGAGTCCCTTCGGCTTTGACTCGTAGACAGGACATGACAGAGCCTCATAACGAGACGACACCAGGAAACAGAGGCGGAAAACCCCAGTCGCATCTTGCAAAACCAGAATTTCAAGGTTTAACTTAAGAACTGACAATACAAATCAAGGACGTGCCATTCTAACATATTTCCCACCTGCATAGCGGGTACATTATTCTCCTGCCACGACTAGAGCCTGACACACGAAGTGCCCTGAGCAAAGCAAATACTGTACCAGAGAACATTGAGTGTTTAATAAGACGTTTAAACAACATACGTTGCAGTACGTATAATATATTCATATTTTACATTATTTAGCCATACATCCTCACATTCTGCAGAAGGAAATAAGTCAGCCAACTTCCTGCAGAAATAAGGTAATCTTTGGAAGGAAGGACATTGACCTAAGCCAATCGTCTATCGGCCCACATTTGGCCAAATGGAGCAGGTAAACCCGTGCAATTTGCACGTTGAAATTGACTTCATTTCCCCTGTCAGAGTGGCCCATTATTCCACTCGACTGGTTTGACTGAAGGCGCACAGCCAGTAAGATCTTATGCAAAACAATTCCACGTCGCATTGTTCTTCTAAGTAATGCGGAAGTTGCTATGCAACTGCATGCCATTGCTCTGGGTTTTTCTGTCCCGATCAAATGCACCGATACCGTTCTCGTAAAACTTGAGTGGTGGAAACTTTCTTCGTGAATTTTTGGCATGGGTGGTTGTTGCCGGCCAATGCTCTTGGTCAACGAAATTTGGACAACATTTGAGCCAAAGAGCAAACGTAAGTCAGTGGCATGATCCTATAAGCTTTTTATAAAAGCAAGGGCTTTTGATCAGGATGCGTTACGATAAGAAGTGGTGAGCCATGGTGAAAAAAATATAGTGAATCCAAGGAACGGAACGTATCTGTGAGAGGAGATGGAGCGGCGATCAAATCAGTTTGTATGCAGGTGCTAGGTGGACATCTGTGATTAAGAGCCTCATAGCTCATCGGATTTCTCCAGGATACATCAAGATTCTGATTCTGATAGGTGGATTTATTGTATCGCAGGATCGTGAGAGGTGGCAGCAGCGTGAAGAGATTACCTTCAGCCGTGTTATTTTTGCCCCGTGTTGATATTTCAGTGATGGATTGTTATTCATGTTTACAATGTGTGTGCAAAAAACGATATCAACAATAACATGAATACTGTAATAATTTACATCTTGGACAATCCACTGCTGGATGAATGCTCCCACGTGGTGCGATGGTAATGGGGGCTTGTGTCTGACCGTACTTCACTGTGCCGGCCAGTGCCGCTTAGTAGAAGAGGCACTCAGGAGCGGTTTAAAAGTTACGCGCTACCGTTCTTAGCAGCTGTGACCAGGAATTTAAATCAAGTCGGAGTGGTTATGTAGATAGGTTGCATGTATGTATGTTGAAATTCTTTCGCACCGTACGTTGCCGACCGTGGTAATCGGAGGAGCGTGGGGGGGGGACAACAAACAAAGCACAAAAAGCAGTTCGAAAACACAAAACAACACACGGATCAGATAACATACGCAAACTAGAGACGCACCATATTGACTGTTTAAAATGAAGTGGGCTTAGGCAGGACACAAGGCTTGAAGGTGCAATTCTACAACATGCGCCTCTGCATGCTTCCGTCTTTGCATTTCAGCTTTTGTTCCGTTCTCTTCATCAGTGCACATATTTTGTAACACCCCCCCCCCCTCCCCATAAATAATGTGCACATGTTAGCAATTCAATTCGATTTGGATTTCGTTCCCAGTCCAATTGAGACAACAAAAACGAGACCGGACTTGGTAGTTTGAATGGATCGTGAAAAAAGCGGCAATTCATTAAATACTCTTTGGGTTCTTTCGGTAAAGTCACGTAGATAGAAAATAATAATAAAAGAACACCACATTTCGGTCGCAACACAAGCGTCCGTCATCAGGTGTTGCGACCGAAACGTCGTGTTCTTTTATTAGTTTTTCTAACCACGTGACTTTACCGAAATAATCAAAGAGTATGGATTCCTGCAGTCACGAAAGCTTCAAAATCAAAGTTTTTGGGTTAGATCGCGTTATTTATAAATGTGTCGTAATCCTCCACCACCCGACACGGCCAATCAGCAAAAAAAGTGTCACGTTGACAAAAGACAAATAGTTCACTACTTTAGCCCACCGGTGTGTTGAAGTGTGAAACCACAACATTTACAATTTTTGAGTACGACGTTTCTTTGGTAATTGCATCCAGCATCATCGGGCAATTCGCCAAAACGTTGATTATGAATAATATTGGTCGCGAAAGCCTACGTGTTAAACTGACGAAAGCTTCAAATCAAGATTGAATTCATTACATCTCACGGGTTTGGAGGGTGGGTATTGAATGATTACATGCCTACACTGAATGCAGAACTGTGATTACTACAGAGGATAAACAATAACTCCCCATGAGATGTAAACAAAAAATCTTTAATGGTCAAACATTTAAAATATTAAATAATAAGCATCATTAAAACCATAGCTTCGAGATGTATGTGTGGTCATCATTAGGCACTGAAGACAATACGCTGAGCATATAAAGCAACCACTGCACACAGTTCGTGAGGAAATCTTGGGCAAGCATATATAAGCTTGGTATATTTAAACATAGTATACAGTTGTATCATATAAAAATGTAATATCTTCTGTTACCTACTGATATTTCTTCTTACAATGTAAATTTGATTAATTATACTGCAGTCAGACATTCTGCATACACTTGCAATGTGCAGTGCTTACATAACATGAAATATAGGACACTGCCGGTCATATTAGCTATCATCAATTCGAAGACCAAACGACCCAAAAAGCAGTGATATAATGGCAGCCAAAGGAGGATAAAACCCCTCAACAACTTGATAACAGTGCGGAGATGGAAAACAACGATCGGTTCATGTGCAGGAGTGAAATTGTGACATCTCAGAACCGTGAAGTATGGTGATAGGCATGGAGAAGCTTTTATCCAGCAGGGGATATCCAATCAGCGATGGTGGTGGTGATGATGATTGATAAAAACACTGGTGTTACCAATTTAACGTCCGCTTCACAAGACACATCATTAAAGATTTCTGGATTTATTTTCACTTGACACAGTAAATTTGGCTGTGACGGTCCCACCTGAATACGGAGACTTGTGTTGCCTCCGAAACGTCGTGATTTAATTTAGTTATTTTCATTTATTATTATTTTATTCCATTATTATTTTTTTACCTACGTGACTTTACCGAAAAAACACAAGAGTATGAATCCTTGCAGTCACGAAAGCTTCAAATCTAGAACACATCATTAAAGAGTTTAATTATTTAAAAAAAACTGCATTTGGTCTGATATAAAGGACACAATTGCCATTTGTTACCGTCAATATTTACTACTCTGCTGCCTTTGTCCATTTCCTACAACTGCAAAAATCAAGCACGGATGCCAATTTAAGTATGGGTTTTATGACTTAAAAGTACTTTAGCTCAGACCATTGAGTAGATTAAGGACCACATTCTAATCTTGACGGCGCTACAGCAACACTTAATTCTGTCCCATTTTTTTGTTTTACCCGTTAGTAATAGAGACATCGGCAAGATTTCTCCAAACATTAGATTGAGCACTGCGTCTTCAGAAAGGCTCATTCTATGATTTTTTTTAATCATATTTGTTCATCCGTACGTGGACACAACAATGATGAGTAATTGCAAATAAAAAGAGAGAAACTGTAAATATCATTATATTCACAACTTTATATATATGCAAAGACAAAGATCCCCCGTATAGCCTCAACAGACTGTAGGGGCAAGTGCTGTTAGCGAGCATCCTATGAAGGCCGGCACGGCACACGAGGGAAGTGGGAGGCCAACACCACGCCCGGCCGCCTTTGTCTCCTTAGTGACGATGTTTACACCATTTGGAACCTCCTTTGCCAGTAGCAAAATATAATAATTGGGTTTTTAACCTTTTATCTGGCAACAAAACTGACACCTTTTTTGCTTACACATCGCACCAGGTACTCATTTGAGGCCGAGTCGACCTAAGGGAGGCCGGAACTGGTTCAGATAATCGTCACTGGTGTTGGCCGTGAGCGGGAATCGGAACCCGGGTCGCCAGGTTCACAGCGCAGCGCGCTAACCGCTACACCGCAAAGATAAAGATCCTTTGTAGTGTAGCGGTTACACTACACACACAGGCACACAGACACACGTGACACTCGTGCCACTCACACACAGGCACACAGACACTCAAATACGACAAGTGTCATGAGAGGCGCTGGTGCCATTACAAGCACTACTTTGTCGGTTTTCGTGCTTGTGCTGCACAGCTCCCCGTTGTGTTTTCGGGTTGTACCACGTGGTCGTTCGGCATCATGTCCGACGTTTTCGTTCCACGTAGAACGAAACGTCGGACATCAACC